CAAGCTTTTGTCCGAAAGAACTACATAAAGACTAGAATAGCCTATTATGCAAATAGCCATTCAACTTTTCAACTTGAACTGTTCAAAGCAGGGGACATCAACCCCAACCCTGGACCAACTATAATTGACAGTGACACCTCACAGAAATGTAAACAGTTGTACTACCCTCAACGGACAACATTCACTGGTTCAGAACTACACCGCTTAAAGAACATCACTGGTTATCAGCGACTTCCAAGTGATGTATATGACAAAGTGAAAGCCCTAGGTATTAGTTGCAAACCTCCAACTAAAAGGGGTACCAGGGGAGGTGTTAAGACGAAAGCCTGGTTAAGGAGTCAACTTTCTGGAACACGACTCGGATCAGTTGTTGATGGAAATGATGAAAGAAAGAAAGTTGCTCACTGTCCGATTCCAGTTCGTGTTCGGCCCCACACTCGAAATTCGTACACGCATGAAAGGCGGAATGGTGTTAACTTCGAGAATCTTAAACTTTGTAGAGACTCTATCAAATGCTCCGTCACCTGTAGCACTTCATCTATGGAATGCCAGATCTGTGAGGAATAAAACCACTGAACTATATGACTATGTACTTCAAAATGATGTTGACATCATGGTCATTACAGAGACATGGCTCCGTGAAAGTGATCCTACTGTCATAACCGAATTGTCGCCACCCGATTTTTCCTTTCACAATGTTGCTCGTCATGGTGATGCTCATGGAGGTTTGGGTTTTCTGTTCAGAACTCACCTAGATCTCAGACTGAAGCAGATTGAATTCTCCCCTAAAACTTTTGAATTTGCCTGTGTTGTAGACAGGTGTGAACAGTATCGTATCATTGCCGTATATAGGCCTCCACCTTCTACGACTAATGGCTTTACAGTAAAGGCCTTTCTCGATGAGATTGATGAATTCTTAGGCTTATGTTCAATGTTGGGCAGTCGCGTCATCATTCTCGGGGACTTCAATGTACACGTTGATAAGGCACATCTACCGACCCCACGCCAGTTTCTGGAATCAGTCACTTCATCTGGCTTCTCCCAGCTCGTTGAAGAACCTACTCATGATGGTGATCACACGCTGGACTTGGTCATTACGAAGACTGGAGATGACATAGTCTGCAATTACAACGTCATTGACAAAGGCATGTCAGACCACTTTGTAGTGCGTTGCAATCTGAATATCCAGGCACCCCCTTCGAGTACTGACAGAGTGCTTATCAAATCCAGAAACTATCGCCAGATTGACAGTGAGAAGTTTCTAGCTGATCTTTCATCACGTTTTGCGGATTTTCCGGAGAGTGATGTAAACGACATGCTGACTTCCTTGTATGGTGCTGTCCAGGGAGTGCTGAATTAACATTGACCAGAAACGACGCGAAGACGGAAACAAAGACCATGTGCTCCGTGGTATGATGACAGTGTGATGGCAAGTCGACAACTAAAGAGAGCGCTGGAGTCAAAATGGAGAAAATCCAAACTTGTTTCGGATCGACAGAATTACATTAATCAAAAGAATAAGCTAAATGTTATCATTCAGAAAGCTAAGCGTAATTATTACACAAATGTTATTCTTGAGTCTAACTGCAGGAATATGTTTTCAACAGTCAGTTCATTACTGGGTCGTTCAAAGCATGTCCTCCCAGTGTCCGATGAACCGCTTCGCCTCTGCAATGATTTTGCCAATTTCTTTGAGGGCAAGGTTAGGAGTATCAGACGGTTACTTGATGCACATCCACCTAATCAGCAAACAGTGTGGACTGTTCCAGATCCGGATAATGTTCCTCCTCCTCTTGGTCCAGTAGCGGATGACGACTTACTGCTGGCTTTAACACCAGTCAGCGATGAAGATGTGAAGAGGGTCATAAAGAAGTCTGCAAACAAGTCCTGTGACCTGGATGTCATGCCAACCTGGCTGCTTAAAGCTAATTCAGAGGTAATGGTACCCGTTATCACGTCAATCATAAACTGCTCGTTAGTGAATGGAGTTTTCCCTGACAAACTTAAATATGCAATAGTTTTTCCTCACCTGAAAAAATCTTCGTTGGATTCTTCGGAACTTAAAAACTATAGGCCTGTATCTAATCTTGCTTACATATCCAAGGTGATTGAGCTCGTGGTGTCCTCAAAACTGACAGCCCATGTCGAAGAGCTTAGCTTACAAGATGAATTTCAGTCGGCATACAGGAGACATCATAGTACTGAATCTGCACTAACCCGTGTTAGAAATGATATTCTATGTGAAATTGATAAAAGGCGTGGTGTGATACTAGTTTTATTAGATTTAAGCGCAGCCTTCGATACCATTGACCACGGATTTTTGATTGATAGGCTTTCCTCAGAATTTGGAATACGTGACACGGCTCTGCAGTGGTTTCGGTCGTATCTTAACTGTCGGACCTATCGGGTTCGCATAGATAGCACTTACTCTGATGTTCATACTTTAGATTATGGAGTTCCACAAGGGTCCGTACTCGGCCCGCTCCTTTTTACGCTATACGTCAAACCTTTGGGAAGAATTATTAGTCGCTACGGTCTTAGATATCATATGTATGCTGACGACACACAAATATACACAAGTTTCAACCCCAAAAGTCTTGCAAATTTTCAAGAAGAAATAAGTAAACTGGAACAATGTATCTCTGAAATTAGTATATGGATGACCTTAAATAAACTCAAACTGAACGAAGGAAAGACGGAACTACTGCTGGCCATGTCACCAAAGCTTAGACATCACTTACCGCGTGATATAAGTATAAACATAGGAAATGGTAGAGTACAAATGTCTGACAATGTCAAAAACTTAGGTATTTTCTTTCAATCTTCAATGTCCATGTCTAAACAAATTACTGCTTTGTGTAAATCGCTTAATTTTCATTTGTACAATATCTCTAGAATCAAGAATCTGTTGACCTCTGATGCGTGCCATCATGTCGTAAGATCATTAATCCTCAGTAGAATAGACTATGCCAACTCTCTTCTTTTGAATGCTAATGTGACAGACATTCAAAGATTACAACGAATCCAAAATCGTGCTGCCCGGGTTGTTTTGGGAGGGAGCAGGTATGAATCAGCATCTCCTCTACTTAAGCAATTACACTGGTTAACCGTAAATAACAGAATCATATACAAAGTTTCCCTAATTGTCTACCAATGTTTGAATAATTGTGCACCAATGTATCTGTCTGTGCTTCTACATACTCCTCCTAGACTTCAATACAACCTCCGCTCTTCTAACGACCCCACGCTCCTCCGATTACCACGTATCAATTCAAGATCGGGGGAGTGTAGTTTCTTTTATTATGGCCCCAAAATTTGGAATACCCTCCCTTTCGACCTCCGTACCTCTCCCTCAGTTGAAATTTTCAAGAAAAAACTAAAAACGTACCTCTTCAATAAGTAAATTGTAATTCTAATATTTTTGTTTGTTATTATAATTACTCTTTTATACATGTATTATCTTGTGTTTACTATGTCATTATTTCTGTAAAGCGCTTCGAGCAATTCGTTGGATGTTGCGCTATATAAAAGACAATTGTATGTATGTATGTATGTATGGGTCTGATTTAAAGGAAACTTAATTTGAACCCGGCCATATTCTGTCTCTCTCTCTCTCTGTCGCTCTCGTTTGTCATTGCCTTCATTTTCCCTCGCTTTCTTCATTCTTACTTCGGAATATGTAATGTGTATGCACGTGTATGCCTCAATCATTGAGAATATACTCACTAATATCGCTGAAATGATTCTTCTCCTACCCCTTTTTCTTCATTTACTTCTTCTTAGCAGTTGTAGTAGTAGTAATTGCAGCAGTATCGTAATAATCATTATTATTATCATTGTTATATTTATTATTATAGTAAATATCGTAATTATAATCATTATTAAATTAAGTATGTGTTATTGTTATTATTCTTATAGTTATTTGTATGCTTCTTCTTCTTATCATTATTATCGTATACACAATACGTCATGTGCCAAAAATTTATTGCTATGATACATCCAAGATGTCTACCAAAACTGTCAATTCATTGCTGAAATATTATCAAGCCAAAAGAAGGAACATTAGAATTTCTATTTTAAATTGAAATAAATTATATAGGAGAAATAAATAGAGAATACAATCATGATTTTGGAACTAAGGGATTAACATGGACATAATGCACTTGTTTACATGACCACACTATCTCTTTTTCATTCTACCTCCATTTTTTCAGACTGTTTTCAAAACAATATCATGTTTGTCGATCATAGTTCTATGAAGCTTGATGTCTCATGGTAATTTAAGCAATCTAAGCAACAATTTCTGAATTTTAGTGACAATCGTTCGCCATTGCTGCTCTTTAATACTATCATGACGTGCAATACCAAATTGAAATTTCAGAACTCATGATAAATTCGTTTAACATTTGATTCCACTTGGTTGATTCTATTGTTCAGATTATTTAGCAGAACGAGATAGAAATTGACATTCTCATGGCTTATGACTTTGCATTAGTGTTCATCGTCTCTACAATGCTATTTGAACAATATTTGGTGACAAAAGACGGCATTTTTATGTAGCGTCAAAAGCCATCAAATAACAAAAACATGGCAGATAAAAAGATCCTCAGTACCGGGTCTAATAATTTAAAGAACACTTAATTTGAACCAGGCCATATTCTCTCTCTCACTCGTTTGTCATTGCCTTCATTTTCCCTCGCTTACTTCATTCTTACCACGGAATATGTAATGTGTATGTGTAGGCCTCATTATGTTAATTAGGGTCAACGATCAAATTGTCTCAATATATCTTCTATACATCCATAATTATCAAGGCTAAACAGTAGAAACTTGACATATGGATAGATTATAATGCATTTTATATAACAATATGACATCGTGAAAATGCATTCTTCATTATGTAAATCATTAGCATACGTATCACCTAATTCGTCAAAGTGACGAATTAAAGTCTATTTATTATTATTATTATTACTATTATTAAAATCTAACAAACTTACGAAGCCACATGAGATTGATGAGGTGCCCATTGATCGTACGATACCAGCTCCTATTGAACGGCCAGATAACCAGGGTGAAACATTGACTTGAAGTGACGATGAGGGCGCTAATTATGAAGATACAAAACAGCCAGATGTGTACGATAGTTGACTGCTTGACCACAGACGAGATATCCATGTCGGTGACAGCTTACACCTGAGCAATTCCACAAAGGAGATATCAAAACAAACATATCTCCATGAATCACAATGGAGAATATCCAGATGAGTATTAAAAGTTATGTTCCTTTTTATGTGCAACTTTAGAGAAAAATACATGTTTCTTTAGAACCCTTTTAGCTTTTACTGAAGGCATTTTGACAAAAATCTCAACATAGTGATCTACTGTAATATACATGTATTTTGGATAGTAGGGAGATTTCTCATTCTTTGTTAATTTCTTTCCAGGGAAAATTTGACTTATATCATTGATTATTTACAGTACACTTTCCTGCTGAAATAGACAGTCAAATACAATTTACCATTTAGTTGTCAGTTTTAGAGTAATATAATGATGGATGAAGCATAATCTTTACTGTAATCTAATTTAATAACCTACAAGTACATTTTTTTTCTTCAAATTCATGACACAATCACCTTTTTTCTCAACTGACTGAATCCCTTGACCTTGATTAAATAGATAGTGAGAATTTACTGTGTAATATTAAAGGTACTATGTCCCTTTTGCAGCCAACCTCAAATTCTGTAGAACTTTGCAGGAATTATGAATATGTCATGTATGTCCTATCTGTGAAATTTAAACATTAGCAGTGTCCTAATATTCAAATTATGCAAGGAAACCTGTTTGCTTGCTAGACTTTACTGTCAGACACTATAGAGTGACTGACTGGCTTTTCGGAGGGGGGGGGGCACTCCCAACATGACTGGCTACGCGCTACCCGCATCCAGAAAAAGCGGCGGAAGGGTATCTTTTTCAGCTATACGGTGGCGTCGACGTTTTCCTTAAAAAGGGTGTTTTTCAAGCAGTGATCGCACAAAAAACAAAAATAGGTACCTTTCAGTTTCACAGATTCGGTGTCGGTACAATGGTCTGAAAATCAAGACTATTACTTATTGGCTCTATAGCTCCTAAGTCGTTTTGACAACTGATAGTCGTTATTTTCCCACTTGAAGACATTTTCAAGCCCCACCTTTTTTAGGGAAGTTCTAAATTACTATTATCTTTCAATTGCCGTTGGAGTTTAACCTTTTCTTTTTTTGGGCCTGCAAATGGGACATACATGTAGTACCTTTAACCTACTGAATACTTTAATTCCCATAGACTGAACACAGAGACTATAGAGTTCCAATAGGAAAGTGATTACTAAAGGCAAAGCAAAATTGTAGAAATTCTAGAGTTCTGGGCCCGTTACCTAAACCTTACCATTGAAGGTAACTTTGCCATTAATGGCAACTACCATGGTAACAGGGCTCAAGAGCCAATCAAAATCAAGGTTTCCATGGTAGTTACCCTTGATGGCAAAGTTACCATCAATGGTAATGGTAAGTATTGTGCAACGGGCACTGGTCATGCGATTTCTGTGTGAAACAAATTGTCTAGAAGCAATTGGAAAAGGCTGATTATGTAGCACAGAGGTACCAGTATGAGGTTTTGGAATCATCTAAAATGATTAAAATTTTGACTTGTCTTGCCAAAAAAGTCACTTTCGCTATACACAGACTAGTCCAGAATCTGCCCGGTCCTTAATAATTCCCTACACGCTTGATTCACGCTGTCAAAGATGGCATTATAAAAATTAAAAAAATCATGCTCACCAGCTTTTTCGCTTGGCATCCTAATTTAATGATCACGCCATCATCGGCTGGTAGCAAGTAAGTAGGGAGGTAGCGTTGGTGTGGTGGAGATCAAAATTGAATACTGGTAGGCCATATTCTGGACTATACACAGACATGTGGTATGAGGCTGCAGTCTACAACCTCTAGCTGTTACTTGCCATATTTCAAAATGAGGGCATTTGAAGAGCCATCCTTTAGAGGGTGCTACTCTTCCACCCACCCAATGTAACACTAACATTAAAAAGAAGAAAGAAAGCTCACAAATAGTTGTTAACCTTTCTCAGAACTTGACCTTCTCTTTACTAGCAAACAGCATTATGCAATTCTGTTATCATTACCTTAGTATGCAATTGAGGCTTTGCACAACACAGTCACAGCAATATCAGATGCTGCAATCTTCCCTTGATATCCTGCACGCTTCGAATGATACACGTAGATTGAAGCTCTTAGTTTCTTCAAGCCTACTCTGTAAGAGTGATGCGATCTTTAAACAGATGGTTTTGATGAGAAACGGAGATGACGGTAGAAACTCAAACTTGACTTTTTTGTCAAGTCTTGAAGTTGAAGTCTTCCAGTATATCTGTATCAACCTGAAAAAGAAAAACATCTTTATCATATTCTCTGGTTAGAGCCAGCAGGGTGTTACAATAACACAGAGTTAATGCACTTTAGGCTCTGAATACACCATTCAGGAGATATTCATTTTCATATATCATATACCGGTATATATCTCCCTTAGCACTTTACATCTAGATGTCTGTAAGCACTTTACCAAAAGATTTCATCCCAATCATCTGCATATTCCACTCAATTCAGACAAAACTGCAACCGGTAAATGTGCTTTCATTCCTCTGAAATCACCCCCCCCCCCCCCCCCCCCCAGATAGCACAAAGCCATAATTCATTCAATCTAGTCCATGGGTATCGTAAATACTTTTTCTGCCAAGAAGCCTGCTAATCATTTACACTGTAATAGCAGTACATGTAACAAGAAAACGCCAAAGAGAGCAGTAGGTCTCAAACAGACCTGAAAAAAAGAACTTGGTCCATTACACACCCCTCTTCCCCCCCCCCCCCCCCCCCCCCCCCACCTCCCCCATGCAGAATTGTCTTTTTTTTTTTCAATTTCAATTTGATATACAACAGTCCATAGACAAAGTAGTTTGGTGGTCTAGTTTTGTTTTCTTTCAGGAAAGCGAGCTCTGAAGACCATGGCCTGGAAATTCATCAGTTCTCCCTTTCTTTATCCAATTCTTGTTTGTATTTCAAATTTGAGATAAACCTAATCAATATTTAAAGGGATCCGGTAACTTTGTCTCAGATCCTGAAATAAAATTCTGGATTTAGCTCATGATGCAATGATAATTATAAACCTTTAGGTCAGTCAGGAACCTCATGACTTTAACAAGCCGATCGCTTGTCTGATTATCAAGATATTTATGATTGGAATTACAAATTTTGAAAACCGTTCGCCTGACGGTTTTCATAACACTACAGTCTATTGGGGAAAACGAGTATGGTAAAACCGGTCACTCAAAGATTTTCACTTTTTTGAGGCACTTCTTGATCATTTTTTTTAGGGCTTCAATATTACACCATATCACAGACACTGATAACACGTAGGGCCGTGTATCTCAGATTTAACACTGTTAAACGATCCCTTTAATGATTAATTATTATTTTCTTTTTTTGTTTTTACTTGTATTTTCCTTGTGATTTACACGCACCATTAAGATTAAAAGCTCAATGGATCTTCCGTGTCCTGCTACGGGATCAAAACATGTGCAAATAATCAGACGATGGTAAACTCATCTTTAAAACTATAACACTGTCTTCTTCTTAGTTTTACAAACAGCTCATTATTTTTTTATTTTAAGGGAATTAACGCGTCAGTTTCCATGTGCAGAAGGCCATAAATCGCTGACACCAGACTTGGTGGGAAAACCATTAATGGGAGTACTAATCTGCACACAGCAAACCCGTTGGCCAGTCAAGAATTACCCCCTTATCTTTCGGAGAGTCTAGCTTCGGATCCCGCTTTGGATCGGGAAAAGCAAAGCATTACATAAGGTCGAATGCTCATAAAACTCAAGGCTAACCCTGGTGATTGACAACACCTCTTATTGGGGAAATACCCAAACGGTGTTGAATTCCCCATGAGAGCTAACTAACGCTCATCGTAATCGCAGTTCCAGGGTGTACTGTTTATGCTCACTTCTCTGGCTCCTCCAGGCAATTCTCCCTGGGCGGCCTTAATTGGCCTTGCAGCTGGATTCGACCTTCGCAAACCTGCACTGTGCATGTAACATAGACCCACTAGAGGTCAGTGCGTTGCCGTTTTTCGGTGATTCTACAAAAGTGAGAAAGGACGCAACCGTGTTTTAAACTAAACGCGTAACAGATGCCTGATTCTGGCCATAAAAAGTTAAGCATAAACATGCCCTAAGTCTTAAAAAAGATTTGAAGAGTTCCCATGGTATGGCCATACATGTAGCAATGTTAGAAGTAGAAATGTCTAATGCTTTTGGTCCGATGTCATCACATCCACGACATCACCAGACATAGCTAGATCTGGTAACTAAAACATTTATTCAGATTTGCTATGGTAAACCACTTATACTGTTTTCACACTGGCAATATTTTGCTTAACCCCGTACTATAGGTGGGGTTAGGTCTAAAGGGTATACCCCACCTATAGTCCAGGGTTAAGCTTATTCCACTTTCTTTTCACACTGGCAAAATGTTGCTTAACCCCGTACTATAGTTGGGGTTAAAGGGGGGTCTTAGCCCTACATGTACATGTACCTATAGTCCGGGGTTAAGCCTATTCCACTTTCTGTTCAGACTCGTATTTACCAAAGTGGGCTAACCCCACCTATAGTACGGGGTTAACTAATCCTGCAAAATAGCAGGGCTAACCTCGCAATTGTGGTGCTAACTCCTGCTAACTCCGCAATTGCGGTGCCAAGCAAATGAATGAGAACAGAAATGAAAAATAGTCCGGGACTACGCAGTGAAGCGAATTAATGAATTCCATGGCCATGGCTAGTACGGGGCTAAGGAATTGTAGTGAGAAAAGCCAAAAAAGTTAGTCCGGGTTACGGATAGTACGGGGCTAAGCATAGTATAGTACGGGGTAGACCGAAAACTTCAGTCTCTCTAATCTTCGGTTGTTCCACTGAGACTACGTCTGACTCCACTAGACCTCCGATTATAGAGACTGAAGATTGTCCTATCGGGACTGTATGGAACCAATGGTTCGGTTCGGCAGGACCGCGATGAATGAGATATGCTACAAGATTTTCACTCTTTACATCCTCACACATGCTCCTAATGACAATAATTAGAGTCTAATTAAAAATAACATATAAATAGCTTATTTGACTTACGATAGCTTGCTCATTTAGATCCTAAATTAATGATTAATCCGAGAAAGTCTCGTCGTCAACATTATCCGTCTTGGTTTTAGTTGATGAATATTAATTTTTTCTTTTCGAACGTCCAATAGCTACCGTAGCTACATACGAGTCGGCCCGGCTTGACCAACGAACTCCCACGAAACGAGTGCTCTGATTGGCCATTGGCTATGTTTTGGTAGGTGGAACCGGAAATATATCGGCCGCCGGGTAATATTTCGAATGCATGAACGTACTGCTTCGCGGTTCTGAGGTACAAATTGGATAATTCATATAAGTAAGTCCGTAAATTATTTATTTAATATTAAGTTATCAAATTTTGAAAACTGTAATTAGGACAAATGACATACCGACCTAATTTACATCTGATTTAGAAATCAGAAAATTAGATCTAAATAAAGAAAATCGGGGGAGAAATGTCGGAAACGAAAAGCTGTTCCGCTGTGGCTCTAATTTACCCGCACGGTACGAGATCTCTGGGTTGCCATCTGTATTGGGGAATGACAACAAATGTCAGTTTTATTAAAGAAATGACCCAAATCAGATGGTTATTGCTGTCTAAGTACGGGGTTAAGCAAAACCAATGTGAAAAGACTATTAGAGACCTGCTAATGTCTAATGGCCAGTCAGGATGAAAAAAGCACACACAACAAGTCAATTTAGACTTTTAGTCTTACTAATCCAAGGCCACCAAGGCCATGGATGCCCCTTTGATTGGCCTCAGTCAGTGCCCCTCTCTCTCATTGGCCTTGGAGATTTTTGTGCCCTTTCCAATTCTTCCTATAATCCTAATCCTAGGGCTAGGCCTAGATCTTTTTGTGCTGTAATAATATAGAAATGTGCCCTACAGAAAAGTGGCCTTGCCCTAAAAATATTGAAATTTAAGGCCTGCTTCCAGTAATCTACGACTGGGTATGACTCAAAACTTGAACCTTTTTTTAGAGCAGTATTAATACTTATGGTCTAGACCTACGTATATAGCCAGCGCCAGCAGAGTCTAGCAAGTAGCAACGGAGCACCAACGGTCAGGTACGGGAGGACGTCGGCGTAGAATTTCTCATGATTCGGCTCTCACCATCCGCACATAAAACTGCAATAATAGTGGACAATTTAAACTTATCCCCAAACTTGTTAACAACCACATCACTCATATACATGTTATAAAGATGGAGCAAAGGTGGAAGTTGCGATAATGATTGAAAATGGACATGCTTAAGATAGAAATTTAATAGTAATAATTGTGTTCTCACCATTGCATGCACTTCGATGTTCCGCCTGCCAAGATTTTTGTTAGATATAGATCGAGCGATCGACCCGCGCCGCAAATGCAAAGCGCAACAACGCGATGCAAAATGTGCATACGCTGTATAATTTATTCAGGCAGACGGTGATCTATCGATTTTTATTGATCATTATGGCCTTGGTGTTTTTCGTTACATAATCGGGTACATAATAACTGCCGAACTGCCACTCCCATCTCTTCTATGTGTAACAATGTAAACCACTTAGTAACCATAGCGGGGTTGAGGGGGGGGGGGGGGGGGGGGGGGGGGGGGGGGGGGGCTTACCTTTTTTGTGCGATGCCCCCCCCCCCCTGGCGCTCAAGGGGGGTGGGGGGTAGTTGGGTAGTTGGAACGTGAGTTTTATATTATGTTTTTAAGAAACGGACAGTTTGTATATGAGATCAAGAGTAGAAATTTTCTGTCATTTTGAGACTCAAATTTCGCATAATTGACATTCTGTTTCATTGAATTGAGTTTCCCGGAGAGGCCTAGATTCAGTTGGTTTAATTAAAGAAGGAAGAGAGTCAAATGAAGAACCAAACAGGCGCGTAGCCAGGGGGGGGGGGGGGCAGTAGGGCGGTCGCCCCCTCAAAAAATAAAATGCCGCCCCCTCCCCAAGGGCGGATCCACGTAGCGATTATTCCGGCCCGCCCCCCCCCCCTAGCCCCCCAAAACGATTTAAAAAAAATAGGATAATAACGTAAAGTTAACCCTTATAAAACAAAAAACAAAAGCGCCCCCCCCCCCGCTTACTCGCCGGAAGGCTGAGTCGGCACTAAATTTTGTATTAAGATTTGGCTACCCCCCCCCCCCCCTTGACGCCGTCTGGATCATCTGCAGGCGCGGATCCACGAGGGGGGAGGGCTGACGGGTAAACAAAAAAAGAATTAAAAAAAAAAAACTCTCACAAATTAGGTGAAAAAAACAAAAATAGTGGTCTCCCCCCCCCCCCCCCGCTTATTCACCGGTGGCTGAGTCGCAACTAATATTTTCTCACGGATTGGGCCCCCCCCCCCTCTTCCCGCCGCTGGATCTGCCACTGCCCCCCACCCCCCCCCCCCCCAAAAAAAAAGAAAGGAAGAGGACGTAGGAAGAAAAAGGATTAAGAGTCGAGAACGGTACAACGAATCGTCTTCTTTCTCTAATAATCCATGAAACGTCAAAGCTTCCGCGCTTCACGCGGGAAAGGGGGGGGGGAAATTGAATTCAGACAAGGATTTAGAGTCGAGAACGGTACAACGATTCGTCTTCTCTCTCTGATAATTTAATGAAACTTTAAAAGAAACTGAATTTAGACAAGGATTAAGAGTCGAAAACGGTACAACGAATCGTCTTCTTTCTCCAATAATCATTAATCAAACGTCAATGGGGGAACTCCCCCTCCCTGCACCCAGAGAGAATCGCACGCTTCGCACTGCCGCCCCCTAAAATGAAATCCTGGCTACGCGCTTGGAACCAAAAGCAATATGTTTTTCATTTACTAATGAGATCTATGTTTGTTGGAGATCTCCTTACACAGAATATTGGAATGGGTTTTTCACGATGAAAGTTGTTTGGAGACATCAATATTCATAAAATGTATGTTTCTATCACCAGGAAATAAGGAATTTTCTGTTTACATGAACCTTTCCTGGTTGCTTATTAATGCATTTGCCCACTGGTTACATAATACTTTCACAATTAAGTTGATATCCCTCACCATTGGAATTGTATTGGTAATGTCTAAATTTCGTTTAAATATAGATGATATCAGTCTTGTAGGCCTACATTGCAGGCAATAGTCAGGACTAACATTTAGCATGTTATATTACCACTCTTATGTTCTCTGAAATGTTATCTTTATTGAGGGTAACTTGAACAAGTTAATAACTTGGTGAGGAGGGTGTGCAATCTGCCACACGCTTCTACCTCTTGGTTGCTTTGATCCATTGCCGAAAATATTTTGGCACCTATCATCCCCCCCCCCCCTCAACCACGGATACAAATTGACACCCATGGCTATAGAGCCAGTAAGTAATAATCTGATTTTCAGACCATTTTACTGAATGGTCGTACGTTTTATGCTGCGCAAAGATTCAATCAGTTTAATTTTGGCCATCACAAGAAGTAGGTTATTGATGTAGACAAATGCTCATGTACCCTTTACAGCTCATTTTATGTATGTTCTAACCAAATAAGAAAACAAGCCAGTCAGTCACTCAATATTGTCTGGCAGTGAAGTTTAGCAAGTAAACTGGTTTCCTTGCATAATTTGAATATTAGGACACTCCTAACGTTTAAATGTCACAGATAGGACATACATGACATATTCATAATTCCTGCAAAGTTTTACAGAATTTGATGTTGGCTGCAAAAGGGACATAGTATCTTTAATACACATTTTATTCAAATAGCCTTTGATGATTAACTTACTCTGTTCACACTGATGTATATTTCATATGTATTGTAATTTGTAGGTTTATTTGTAATGCTTTGTTTCGGTTTAATATGTAATTGTTTATCATTGTATTTTTTTAAAATTTGTTATAGCTCTTAGAGGTTTGGGTGGAAGGCGCTTTATAAGCACCGTTTTTTATTATTATATTATTAAAATGTCAGTGCATTTCAGCATTGTTGACAGGCCTGTGCAAATAAAGGTCCATGAAAAATGAACTCACAAATAATAAGCCCTTTAGATAATCTTTGCTCTATTCTGGTCGAGGGGCACTTTAATAATAATAATATTTAATTTTCATATAGCGCTTAATACATGTCTCTAATCTATCATTTTTCCTCGAGTCTTGATGAAAAAGGTAATGGCTTTAAACTTGATTCTTTCTTTGTTTTTGTTTTTGTTATTGAAGTGCAATGTCGAAAAGAAAATTGATTGAAATGTGGACACACTTTTGTAAGCGACAATATAAAACACGTGTGGTTTGCTTTTTTATTATTCCTATTGTCTTGCTATGTGTTTCTTTCCATGTTCACGCACAAAAGATTGCTAGCCTTCAAACAAAAAAGCGTTCCTACCCAGATGTCTATGTTTGGATGTTTTTCACTATTAAACGTGTGAAGATGGGCGCGATTATTATATTGGTTCCATAATATCATGGTGATATGACGCAAACCCTCAGATAGTCGTTGACTCTATTCTGACTGAGGGGCATTTTGACCTCCCCGCACTGTTAATTTATGATTTCATTTTCTAGATCATTTCGCACGAATCTATCACTTTTTCCTCGAGTCTTGATGAAAAAGGTACACGTACTGTGAAAAGGTTGGGCAATATTTTGCCCAGTGGTATTGGTAAACGTATAGTAGAGGGTGAAAAAGGGGGATACGAACAGAAACGAGAACGGGACAAGACAGTACTTAACATGACACAATTAGAAGAACACGGTCATAATTCAAAGAGTAGACAATGACGAAAAAGAAGTGAGAGATCGGGGGTATAGAAAATAATACAAAATGATGAGCTGCATGTCGGGTTGAGAAGAAGATGAGGAAAGAGCAATGCGCATTAAAATTAATTTTGTTTATGTCAGATTTATGTTTAGTAACATTCATTGCCTGTTTAATTATTTTCCAGGTATTTTTCATATCATGTTTGTATAATACCAACATATTTTCAAAATATCTTTTCTCTTCCAAACGAATAATCTTAGTCAAAGTATTCTTATAAGATGTAAACGAAACCGAGAACTATCGATGTCTTATTATAACTTAATCACAATTATAATTAATAAATGACACATAGTTGTAAAGCTTAGAACCGCCTCTTTCATTTGTTCAACTCATATGATGCATATTTCACGCATGATTGATTAAAAGCAATTTGAAGAGAGGAAACCAAAAAGTCTTTTAGGCGGATGGTATCTGAATTTCAAAGAGAAAATCACATTTCTAGAAAGTTTATTTTCTGCCCTTTCATATGACACATCAATCAGCAAAAATTAGATTCTTTTTTAAATAGCAATAACACCTATTATTTATCCCTCGCTCTCTCTTTCATCCACCCTTTCTTAGTTTCTTCCTTACTGTCTCTATTTCTCTCTACATTCTTATCCTTCTCTCCCTCTTGTTTATTTCCTGCTCTATTTCCTTCCTTCTTTCATCTCCATCCTCTTTCTACACAGTTTTCTCTCTTTCTTTGTCCATGCAGCTTTCAAACAAATTTGTGAAATCTGACAGTCCCTTTCTCGTGCCCCTCTTTGTCCTTTTTTGTCTAAATTATACAAAAATATAATCTATTCTTATCCAAAAATGATGCAATTTTAAGAGAAATTCATTTAAGCAGCACTTCTTTATTTCAAATTCTATACAGAAAAACAGAAGATTTACCCTGGCCACATGCCTATTTCTGAACAAATACTGTGTACTACACTATAAATTCACTAAAATATTCATTACTCACACTCCATTCGTCTTAACTACAATTAGTGGCAATTCTAGGGCTCTCTGGCACAGGGAAAGATGGGGGGGGGGGGGGGGTGACATAAGCCAGACAACAAATCTGAATCTACGACAAATAAAATAAATAACTAATGAAGTTATCACACTTTTTGGAAAGTTTTATTTTTAATCCAGAATTCTCTGACAAGAAAAAGGACCTGTTATAACATTTTCCTTCTAAGGGTCTAAAATTGCTGAATTTTAGCCATGCTAACCCAGTTTTGCTGAGGGCATGCAACCCCTGGGCCTACCATTGCATGAAATAGTTCATCTTTGAATGAATATCAACTCATAAAAAAAATAGTTACACATTTTTTTGTAATCAGAAAACAGACAAAATGTTAACAAAATCATTTTTTTTTTTTTTTTTTTTGAAATCCACAGCAGGCATCAACAATATCTTAATATCATGAAAAATGAATATACAATCAGTCTTCTAGCTTGATAGATTGGAGGTAATATTGGAGCGCAATAAGCACTCTGGGTGGTGGCTATACAAATCCAATACTATTACAACTGTACAATGAAACCTGCTTTAGCAACCGTCTTTACAGTAAGACCACCTGTCCATAAAGACTGCTTTCCTTGTCTCCCTTGAGTGAGATGTATATACAGGATTCACTTTATCATATACTAACTTTAAGTTTATGCCTTGGCTAGCTTCAGACTTATCATAATGACTTGTGACTTTAAATACAATTCAGACATGGAATTTCAGTGCAAGTTGGCAAGAACTCTAAAAAATGTCATGCCATTCAAAATTTCACATTAAATAAACATGGAATTTCAGTGCAAGTTCGCAAGGATTCTAAAAAGTGTCATGCCATTCAAAATTTCACATTAAATAAAGATGGAATTTCAGTGCAAGTTGGCAAGGACTCTAAAAAATGTCATGCCATTCAAAATTTCACATTACATAAACATGGAATTTCAGTGCAAGTTGGCAAGTACTCTAAAAAATGTCATGCCATTCAAAATTTCACATTAAATAAACATGGAATTTCAGTGCAAGTTGGCAAGTACTCTAAAAAATGTCATGCCATTCAAAATTTCACATTAAATAAACAATACCCAAGTACTCTACATACCTTTATCAAAATGTTAAATACTAAATCTATGGTTAAGCTCTTCTTTTTGTACTGTGATTTTTATTGTTCTTTCATTTAAATTGAACCAACATTATTTTGTTTTGTCCTTCAACCGTAAGATGAGGTCTCAGTAGATTGCATGTCTGCCTGAAAAACGGTAGACTGTATGAAAAGAAGGGGGAGAAATATAAGAAAATAAAGACGCTGCATAATTGCGTATATAGATCATACAGCACATAAATATTCCTTTCTTATAAAATCCATTCATAATTAACGATACACATTACACAATACTTCATATCATGGGCGTTAATCCTTACGTAATGCCTATTGTTCAGGGGGGAAATCCCCTCCTGAACAATAGGTATTACGTAAGGATTTAAGCCCATGCTTCATATGCCATATGAAATACATGTAAATAGTTTTATCATTAAAATGATACAAAATAATTGTTTATAATCCACACTCTACTAATTTACTTTTATTCTGTCATCCATCGTTATGTAAATAGCTGCTGTATTAAACAGATTGCAATCAAACTCTACACATGCCAGGGTTTACATCAGATTCATAGAATGTGTTTATGTATTTCTAAAGTATGCATATTTGTCATGGAGTTAGCTCTTCCCCAAACATTTCTTTGTGTACTATCCAGCTGACTGCCTAACAGGTGTCAACACAGTGTTCATTCATATTAAGAACCTTCTGGATCTCACAAAAGGGGAAGTGTTGGAAACATTCTATAAGGTAGGCCTACCTTTGAAAGGGATCACAAGTAACTTAAATAATAATTGTAATTATGATTAATAACTTCAATCATTGTCACATTATTTCAATTACACAATCAACTATTATTTCTCTCCCAATACATTTTCAAACATAAGCAACAACACAGAACCTTTTGCAAGGATATTAGGTTTAAAGGGAATAACATTATAAACCTTGCCTCTCTACAAATCTATTAAAAAAAAAAAAAAGACATCTGTATTACTTACTTGCATAGAGCACTGCTGCTGGGATAAGCACTTTCAAGATAGACCCAGAGATGACTATCATAGAGGTGTAGTAAAGGATTGGTAATCCAATAAGAAGCGCCCATCCACTCACAACATATAGAGAGAGTCTTGGACAAGGGAAGCCATGCATTGATCGCTGTGCATCAAATCCTTCAAAGGTGTCATGCTGAAGGAAGTAGTCAAAAGCTTTGTCCTGTAAAAGGAACAATATGTGAAGAGTGAGATAGTAAGATGGACAGAGAAACAAAGAGAGAGAGAGAGAGAGAGAGAGAGAGAGAGAGAGAGAGAAATAGAGAATGACGGGAAAAAGAGAAGGAGAAAAAGATAGATAGGAAGAGAGAGAGGGAGAAAGGGTGCATGTGCATGTGTGTGTGTGTGTGTGTGTGTGAGAGAGATCATGGAAGTTATAGAGTGAGGGAGAGAGAGAGAGATAGAATTAGAGGGGAAAAGAAGAGACAGGTTGATAAAGGAACATACAAAGATAGGGTGGAGAGGGAGACACAGAGGGAGAGATGGAATAAGAGAATGAAAAGGAGAGAGACATAGAAAGAAAGAAGGGTAAAAACAGTGGGAGATATGTGGATTAAAGGGGATTAGAGAGAGAAAGAGGAAGAAGGAGATATACGTAGAGAAAAGAGAGGGGGTAGACAATTGGTGATGTATACAATTGGAGAAAAAAGGAAGGAGAAATTGGGAGAGAGTGAAAGGGGGGGGGGGGAATGAAATAGAATTGGACAGAGGGATACATTTTATTCTGATCTTTGTAACAACTACATCTGTTGCACACATACAATTTAAAGTTCATATAATTTACATCAACTATTGAACATTTACATGGATTTTCACCACATTGACAGGCCAGGCCCTAAAAGCAGAATTTAGTAGTAAAATCACAGGACTGATCATGATAAAGCAAACAAGATAAGGGGCCTTTACCTTTCCTCTGTACATCTCATGGCAAAACTCATCCTCTGATCCAGAAGGGACATCATCTAAAGGGAATCTCCTGTTTGGATTATTATTGAAAGCTAAATTAATCTTATTTTCACAACAACTTTTGTTTGCAATATAATAATGGGTATAACAATGGTGGTTTCTTATGCCATGCACATGTCTATCACATTGTGTTTCTCTTGGTGTTCAAACTTTATTACCCTGGTCATGGCTATCGGCCAAATATGTAGTGCTCTGGTACATCGGGTACTGAGGCACACCTGGGTAGGTGGAGGGGAGTGATGTGTATTAGCGTCTTGCTAAAAACTTTGGAATTCCATTTTTATGCTACTTTATGATTCTTCTCTTGAGTCGTGAATTTGTGATCGAGGAGAAAGTCTGGGATCTTTTAAAGGTTGGATGTAATACTGAATATCATACTACGAGAGGGGAACTTGTTTGCTTTGTTCTTTAAAAAGATGAGGCAGTTGGGGGTTGGAGCCAGTTGTGCATACTCCTGTGTTGGAATAATGGTGGAGCACAGATCTCATGACCAGTAACTCGAAACTAAGCTAAAAAACAAGTGGTCTTTGATTTGGCAAATGACAATTAGCATCAAATTTAAAATAACTTTGATATACTTTATTAATGAAAAAAAACCCACCAAATAATACATACAATTCATTAAAATTGTTTTGCATGAAATGATTTTAAAAATGTATATTGGAACATACAAAAAAGGCAATGTCACATGAGTCAACATTATGAATATTTTTTATAAATGTAATGCGTCCTGGGAGAAATTTCAATAGTTTAAACATATTTGTGGCTTACACCCAGTAATTAAGATCTGCAATTGAAAAAATTTTTTTTGGAACCAGCGGGATTTAAATCTGCCATCTACTGCTATGGCGGACTAATGAATATTAATAAGTCAGAATGAATCAGGAGAGCTTGGGTATTTGTTTCTAATTCATTGTGACTGTGCCATGGACGAGTGATGGCCTGGTGGTAGAGTCGCTGCCGGGTAATCAGTAGATGGCAGGTTCAAATCCCGCTGGTTCCAAGATGTTTTCTGACTTGTTTTTCAATTACAGATTGATCAATCAATCTTATTTACTGGGTGTAAGCCACAAATATGTTTAAACTATTATGAATATTACTCTCTCAGATATTACTGTAAGTAATACTTATTAATAAGAAGTTGCTTATTCATGACAAAACCCAAATGCTTCCTGTAGCAGCAGAGAGGAGAAATAAAATTATTCTAGAAATGAGATCATATACTAGGTGAAATATTATACAAATTATTAGGGATTATTACAAATGTATCATGACAAGGTTGCCATTCAAGATTTATAGCCATCGGCTACAAGTGGCGGCTAGACATCGCTCTGTTTTTAGATTTATTGGTTGCATTGGTGAGCTATCAAAGTTTGGTTTACTCTTCAAACCATACTTGACAGAATGCGTGCAAGAAGATAGACGATGACATTGAGAACTGTACCTTGCATAAACATGACAGTCAGACTTCTTGCCACAGAGTACATCATAGAGTGTTGGAGCCTTGCCACCCTCATACGCCAGTGTTGCATCATATATTTGGACGTCTAGTAGAGTAATGCAATTAGATAAAACATTTGAAATTTGGCTATTGGAACTATAGAAACTTGAGGGTATTACCTATACTCAGTCATTTGTGTGTGCGGCTGAGCTGCACAAGGCCGGATGGTTATGTATTTATAATACCGAGCACAGTGCCTGGAATTTTCTGGTATTGTGCACAGTAAATTTATGATCATAAGGCCCTGCACTACTAAGATCCACACAAGCATTACTGCAGAATGTCCTTAAATTATCTGTATCATGTAACTTTGAAATTATGTTGAAAACATATGGAAACTCATTCAAAAAGATAATGGTCTCATCGTTTTCCTAGTTCATACCATGTGCAATCATATTCTAATTACATATAATTAATCCATGTTAATGTTTATATATGAAATATGTGTTTTAAAATCAAATATTTATTTGAAATGATAATTATAATTAGTGTCCACTTTGATATCTTAAGGATTATTTAACAAATAGAAAACAATATGTTAATTTCAACTGTCTTAATTCGTATTTACTTTCCGTTAATTTTGGTGTTCCCCAAGGCTCCATTTTAGGCCCACTTTTATTTCTTTTATACATTAATGATTTATGGCTCAAGGCATGGGCACACAGAGGATTTTTTTATGTTGGGAACCGGGGTAAAATGCAATAAATTATTGAAAAATTATTGCATTTTCTGTTTTTTATTTTATTTATGGAAACTGCCCCCTACCCTAGCCCCCGCTGCGTACAGTCATGATACAGTGACAAAGCAATGGCCTCGTAACTGTGAGGCCCCAGGATCAAAACAGTGTTTATGTGCTATATTAGACCCCTTTTGTGGGGCATTAATCCTCATTAGTGTCATTTATGACTTAAGGGCGTAGGCCCCTATTTAATATGCATAGAAGCATACGCATGCTTTAGCAGTCACGCAAAACACACATTTGCAAATTATTATTCAATAAAATCTGAGAATGTATACTTTTATTTAGATCTATTATTTTTAAATTATTTTTAAAATAATTCCATAAATTGGGGTAAAACAAAATATTCCACCTATATTAGCGACAGTATATATGATTATGTTTTATTTGAAAACACAGAAATAAAAACAAACAAACAAAAACAAAATATATATTTTTAATATCATAAAATGCCAAATTTACCAAGGAAAATACTTTGGCAGGATTGATCCCATTCAACTCTTTTCATGCCACATAAATAATCTCTGGGCCACATTGTATCTAGCATGGGATAGGCTCCAGGATTATTCAAATTTTTTTCAAGTACAAGATGACTCTATACCAGTGTTAAAAGTAGTGAATCAAGACCAGAAATGGGTGAATTTGCAAGGCCATTGTGATGCACAAAGCTATCCTAGCTTCCATCGATTGGTGCCTATGTTTGTCTGTAAATTGTTTATGTAAAGATGAGTAACTGTGGAGTGAGGCAAAGGAAGCGACGGAAATGTTAATGGAAATACATGTACTCACTTTTTCCTCTGAAAGCCTGCACACACAGACCAAAACCTTTGGTCCTTGGTATCAGATGATGCTTCAGCTCAGGGAGTCCCCTCTCTCTCGCAAAAGCCTGACTAAGCCGGTACTTTTCCTCTGTGTATCTTGTCCCTTCACAAAATATGACGGTCTGTGAAAAATAGGAAAGAAGAAAAACATGATGTAATAACGATATAATCATAATCATCATCATCATATATTAGTAGGAGACCAGCCTGTAGGTCCCGTGACCAATCTCTGGGAACAAAGGTTTGAAAGTGTTTTTGAGTTCCCTGATGAATACCTAACAATTTTGACTTGGGCTGCCCCCTTGAAAATCCCAGGCATTTTCGTGAGGGGTCAACAAATGTCACACAGGGATAGAAATTCAAGTAGTTCCAATCGTGTCAATATGCATATCAAATTACTCGTCTGGTCATGAGGATTCCAAAAATGTATAGTTTGCTATACCTCCAACCTTAAACGAGGGCGCTATGGTAAAAAACGTTGAAAGGTCAACACACTTTTGACTGGTGGTCAAATTCACCAACACAGTGAACCTTATTAAATTGCATATCAAATCACTCGTCTGGTCATAGGGATTCCAAAAATATATAGGTTGTTATACCTTCGACCTTAAATGAGGGCGTTATGGTCAAAAAGGTCAATGCACTTTAGAAATTCACCAACACAGTTAACATCGTCCGATTCTAATGATTTTAGTGTCTAATAATATGTTTTCTGACATAATAAATTCAACTACGCAACTTTTAAAATCAAAAGTGGTTGCCATAACCTTGAAATTCCCCCCCAAACCCATGGATAAGAAGTTGTTGGTTGTTTGTCACCGAAACGGCAGCTATTTTGAATGGACATGGTCAAGGTAAGTACTTTTACTTTTGAAAGTTGTATAGTTGAATTTGCCATGTCAGAAAACATATTATTAGACACTAAAATCATTAGAATCGGACGATGTTAACTGTGTTGGTGAATTTCTAAAGTGCATTGACCTTTTTGACCATAACGCCCTCATTTAAGGTCGGAGGTATAACAACCTATATATTTTTGGAATCCTTATGACCAGACGGGTGATTTGATATGCAATTTAATAAGGTTCACTGTGTTGGTGAATTTGACCACCAGTCAAAAGTGTGTTGACCTTTCAACGTTTTTTACCATAGCGCCCTCGTTTAAGGTTGGAGGTATAGCAAACTATACATTTTTGGAATCCTCATGACCAGACGAGTAATTTGATATGCATATTGACACGATTGGAACTACTTGAATTTCTATCCCTGTGTGACCTTTGTTGACCCCTCACGAAAATGCCTGGGATTTTCAAGGGGGCAGCCCAAGTCAAAATTGTTCGGTATTCATCAGGGAACTCAAAAACACTTTCAAACCTTTGTTCCCAGAGATTGGTCACGGGACCTACAGGCTGGTCTCCTACTATATTAAATGTATAGACCAGATTTGGAAACGACCCCTCTCAAAAATAAAATGTGGTGGTGGCAGTGGTTATTTTACTGCTAAGAAAGCATAAATGCTTGTTACTAAGCAACCAGATATCCGAGGGTTTAGATTCTCTCCGAGGGACCTGATAATGAGGATTAATGCCTTACCAAAGGGCACTAGCGCATTGCCTTGGTTCGAACCTGGATTACCGAATTACGAGACCACAGCTCTACCGACTGAGCTATTGCGCCATGGCAAGTAGAAGCTCTTATCACCAATCATGTGATAGAAATAAAATAAAATATAAGAGCCTGTGGTTATTATACTATCTGTTAAGAGTGTCAGATGGGCATTAACTCAACAGAAGGCATGTGGTCTATTTTGCATTAATTGGTTCTCCATGCACCTTCCGTAGGTCACTATAGGTAGTATAATAGGAAAACAGGCATTACTCCAACCCCTAATAATTGAGTAACACTACTATACATAATAACCTTGATTAATGGAAATTCATATATATATTCCACTACCTGGTCTGGTACATGATCTTCTGTCATGAGTCCTACATGTACTTTCTTTCAATTAAGGCACATGATCACTCATGAATCTAAAATTTCTGACTAATTTCTTTATGAATGATCTAAGTTGAAAAAAAAGAATAAATGACAACATGGTGCCAAATGAAATATCCACCTCAGCGACCTTTGACCCAAATCTAATCAGGTTATCTGATAATGGAGATGCTTATAAAGGCCTTTGCATTTCACATGGTGCTTGAGTTGATGTGAAAAGGGGCAAGATTGGGGGGGGGGGGGTGGGGGGAGGGTACATTCAATGTCATGTTACTTGACCTCTGCAACCTTTGACCTCATCAAAATATTAAGAAGTTTATCTCCCACTGGCAATAGCTTAAAGGTAAAGACCAGTTATGGTCATGCGATTGCATTGTGAAAGAAACGTTGTGGAATCGATCAGAAAAGGTTGATCATCTAGCATCTAGCATCTGCGAGGTTCTGGAATCATCAAAATGATAAGAAATTTGGCCCATTCTTCGTAAAGTTACAAGCACTATACACAGAAAGATGTATATGGGACTACCCTATATCTCTCACAGACCATGAGAGAAACAAATTTACCAAATATATGAATTAGTAGGCGGTTTCCCGGCAAATTTTTTATCATCATGTATTAGTCAAAACATATTCTTTCACATGATTGGTAATGAGAGCTTCCATTTCATTTTTTGAAATTGGGGCGTTTCCAATACTGGTCTTTACCTTTAAACATGAATTCATGACAAAACAGACATTTGATGTAACTTGTAAGCAGTTGTAAATTTTATTTTAACTGATCATTGTGACCTTTTACCTGTAACCTTACCTTCCAAAATCTTAACATTATTGCCTCATATGTATCATGCATAGTTATTTAATTTATAATCAATACAATTATATCAGTTGGGAATACTTTGGTTTATTGAAATTAAAAATGAAGCACTCATCTTGCACACATGGCTTGCCATAGACTCATGAATATGTATGAATGTTATGAATATATGCATCTTACCTGGACTTTCAAATACTAAAGCCAACTTTGGAGCAAAATGCCTATAAATAATTGTAAAAGCAAAACCAAAAAGCAAATTTCTGTTACTGTTAGTGTAAATAATGTATAATTAAGATATCATACTCATACTGAATTAGAATTGGTGAAGTAAATCTGGAATATCATCCCATCTATTTTTACTAACCGCTGCAAAAACCATCTATATTTTAGGTGGGCTTGCTGCCTGGACAATCATCAAGTATGCCTTAAACTAATGAGTAAGGAAAATAACGAGCCTAGGTAGCCCTAGGTTCCACGGCTAAATAGTCTGTGAGGAATTTCTCTTGAGGGAACAGGTAGCCCTTGGGGTGACCCATCTTACTTTGGTGGGATGCACCATGATGGGCTTATCTTCCCGCCTCCCTCTAAAATATTCTAAAGAAAGAGCAATACAAATTTCAAGGTTTTGTGAACTTGGCAGGCATAAACCCTCATCAGTCGTAATGCATAACAATGGGTATGAGCTAGGATGGGCCCTGTTTTGTAGCTGCTCCTGACAGAGTTGGGCTCTGCTCAAGACTTGATGGAATTTTCAAATGAGAATCGAAAATATCACTGTGACGTAATGCCGGACAACTCTCCAATTTCCATTTTTTTTTTTTTTATTCCTACTTGATAATTAAAAAAAAAAAAAATACTAGTAAATTGCCATGGTTTACGGAAGCGTGTGTGAAAAAGCTTTAATTTCTTTGTTTGGTTAATTGGTTCAAATATGAGAAATTTTCAGTTAAAGCTTCGCAGCACTCAACAAGCTCTCTCATCATCATCATCATTATCATTACCATCATCATTGCTACCATCATCAGCAGCCAGTGATTACAGGTTAAAAAATCTGCTGCTTAAAAATGAGATATTTGATACTAAATCAAATCTTAATTGGGGAAGTATCAAGCATTATCTTACCTTTGTTTCCTCCTCCAAAGTATATTAAAACCAAAACCCGGTTCAAAACTTCTCCTCCAGCATTTTTAAATGTCAAGTGACCTTTATGAGCATGAATAGAAAAGCAAAGCAATAATAACTATAAGAGAGAAATGGATAAAATAATGAATATTAATGTTTGTTGAGATCGAGCCAAAAGAGCATTTATTTCCTAGTATTTAGGATATGATTTTATGACCATTCGGCTCTTAGTAGAGGAAATGAGCATGAAGTTTAGATAAGCCATATATTGATGGAGATAATATAAACTAAAATAAAGAATAAATGCTTTAAAAGGAACTATATAGTATCTTGACATTGATAAGCTAATATGTTCTGTTGTAGTACACAAGAAAGAATATTTTTACAAATCTAACAAAAGTATAGTAAGATTTGTTCACATTACGTAGCTTCACAACTAATGAGCCAATTCTGGATATTGAGAAAATAAAAGTTTTTCTCCACAAAAAAAAAAATAATTTGGGAAGTTTAAATCCTCTTTGATATTGTGATGGGGAACAAAACAGTGATATTATTTGAACAGGAACCATACGACTTATTTAAATAATAATAAATTGGTAATAAATTATGTTTCTATAGCGCTTTATGAAATGTTTCTAAGTGCTTGAAATAGCCAAAATAGTAAAAATGATAACAACACTCAAACGTTGAAGGGTAGTACAAGGTTAAACAAGACTGTAGGTCAGCAAAGCAGAGGCCATGCACGTACTTGATGGTGTCTAAACCCCACCCCAAAATCATATGTACACGTACTTGATGGTTTCTAAACCCCACCCCTAAATCTGACATGTCAATAAGAGATGAAAGCAGGGGGACAATGTACAACGTGCACTTGACCCCGTTCTTCTAAACCCATCTTACTTAGCTTGAGTACAGGGAAATATGCCCAAACTCCTCAAAACATGTATTTGTGTGCACTTGGCACTTGACTAGGATGGCGGCCTCAAAAAAAAAATAAAGGTAAAACTTAAACTGAAAAATTGTTTAAACGATGAAAAGAAGCACTTGAAATATGTGATGAGTCTGCCTCTCTTGTTGCTTGCTTAAGTAACGTAGTTAATAAAAATGAGATAAGCCTCTTTCTGCTTGTAATTTAGAGAGAGATTTCCATTTACCACATTAATGCCTACATAAGTGATAACCCGTTTTCATGAGGTAGGATTGTTACATTTGTTTTGGCAACCACCCCCCCCCCTTCCTTCCTTTTATTCAAAGGTCAGAACCTGAAAATAATATTGTGATAAGATAAGAATGAGAGTAAACAGAAATCAGCTCATATGCTATCTCTTGTACAGTGTAACAAGGTCAAATGTCAGATTATCTTACGAGCAAACATGGAGCACACAGATTGAAAAGGAAGTTTGTTCAAGACTCAAATAAAAGATTTCATATGCAACATACAATGGGTTTTGCAAACAGCAAAAATAAATAAGATAGGCTATGCAAACAAGCAAATACGATAAATGCACACACAAAAATCAAATGCAATGTGTAATGCTATTATATGAATTAAATTGAAAAAGGGAAGATGAAAAAGCAGTGACAAAAAAAAGACCAGTATAAGAAAACAATAATGATAAAGTACATGCATAACATTCAAAATGTAGTAGCTAAATTACAGTGATGAACATTTTGCAAGAATGAAGATGCTAAACCATAACATGTTTGGCAAACAAGCAGCAAATGAAAGAAGCACACACACTTAGAGAACCTTGTTTTGGGACGATAAGGGTAAGATATTACTTTAGCAACTTCACCTAATCGAACAGATCATTTTTGTAGATTGTCTTTAAATACTTCAACTGACCTAAGTTATAAATATGAGAGTGAATTGATGCAAAACAATCAAATGAAAACAAGAAAACAAACAAATAAACAAGCAAAAGAGAGGGCTAATAATGGCACTGTATTCTTACTGTAGTTGGAAAGTGAAATGAGGTGATGTTTCGTAGTTGCTTCAAAAGGTTCTCCTTGTCCTTAGTGTAATTCCTCTTGACAAAAGGTTGTTCAGTGAGATAGAAGGACAAGCCCATGATGGGAACGTACTTCAGCTCATCCTTCATGCATGCTTTGCCACCCTGGTAGAAGAATAAGAAGTGAACATTAAGATAGTTCATAGATTACGAGGGGGACAAAGGATGGGAGTGAACCCCCCCCCCCCCCCCCCATGAGCATTATAAACTTAAAAATCAAGCTTTTTTCAATGGGGAAAAATATCCTCTTTCACTTCAGAACTTTGTGAAGACCAATTGGAGTGTTTTTTTTTACTTATGATGTTTCAATGTTTATTAACGCATGAGAAAGGGAGAAGGGGGAATTGAAATAAAGATTACACAAATCACAAGCACAAATTACTACATCATTGAAGAGTGTGGCAAATGTAGATAAATTGTGTATGTCTTGCCAAAGGATATTTTTTCTTTTCAGTTAAATTATTTAAACAAGGTTGCCTCTTCAGATAATAAAGTGCTTGAAGGCCCAAACATACCAAACACGTTTAGTAACGTGTTTGTGGCTGTGGTTTGAACCCTGTACCTTGTGATCCACAGTCTGGTGAGTTATCCACTAGACCCACAAACCTCTACTCCTATCCCACTCACCGGTAGAAGGTTGAACCCTGTACCTTTTGATCCACAGTCTGGTGAGTTATCCATTAGACCACAAAACCTCTACTCCTATCCCACTCACCGGTAAAAGGTTGAACCCTGTACCTTTTGATCCACAGTCTGGTGACTTATCCACTAGACCACAAAACCTCTACTTGTATCCCACTCACCGGTAGAAGGTTGAACCTTGCACCAACCTGCCAAGTGATGATCCAATCAACGTCACTTCGGTGGTTGAGGACAAATAAGCAGTCATCTTTACCAATGAATGGAAGATCCTCGTCCTTACAATGAATAAATAGCTGCGATCCAGACCAATGGTCTACCAACCAAACATACTCTGCAACCAAATGATAAACTGAATTTTTAGTTAAGTACTTGTGATTGTGAAAGGTTGTGCCTGACTTTAAAACTGTGAATTGACTAAGATTCTAGATAACATTTCATTTCTTATTTAGGCATACAGTACATAATACAAGACCATATTTGCATGAATGTTTATATGTGTATCTCTTAACATAAAAATCCTCCCATTCCCATCCATCTTTTTGTAATCTTTATTTCAATCCCCCTCCCCCCCCCCCCTTGCTCTTTTCTAAACTGCATAGAGTAATTTCTCAAATTAGTTGCATTGCAAGCACATTGATTTCAGTGGTCAAATATTCTTTTTCTCTGAAAAAGGAATAATATAGCAGATATACCAGTTCCCACAAAAAGGAAGCCTACAATGCGATTTGCAATTAATCACGTTTGGTAGTTTTATCTTCTCCATTTTACTTTTGGAAGGGGAGGTGCAGTAATATTGCTGGCTATACTCACGTAACCAGAAGAGTTTTATGAGCCCTCCATTGGCGTTCCGATACCAGCGTCTGCTGAAGGGCCATACGATGAGGGTGCAGCACTGTAGAGCTACCACGATAAGACCGCTGATGATAAATATACACCACAGACAAATATGGGTCAGGGTTGACTGCTTCAGGATATTGATTAATCCCATGATAGTGAAGTCTGAATGGAAGAGAAACAAAGCAGAATGTTATTACAAGTGACAACTTTGTAAATAATTATTAAAAAAGGAGAAGAAAAAGAGATCAGCAAAAGAATACTGCATGTAGAGATATCCATAAGCAGGTCAATAAGTAATTATTGAGAGGAAAGAAATATTTTCGCAGCCTCTGCTGAATTGAATGTTAAATTATAATTATATAAACATATCATATTTCTTTAACAATTGTTTCAACATAAAAACATAAAATAATCAAGAGTCCGTGTGATTCCTCAGACTTCACTAATAAATAAACTACGCAAAAACTAGATCTCAGGGGTGTTAGTGAACGCTAGAAAAAAAAAGGTTTTAGAAATCCGAGCGAAGCGAGGTGTTAGTGCTTAATTCAAAACCAGATTTACATCGATCTCAGGGACTGTCCATTTTTGGAAGAAAAAACAATCATGATAAAAAAATTATTTAAAAAAAAAAATGTCTGGAAAAATAATAATTAGGAAACCGATTTAAATCAAGAAATTAACAGGCCTGTAGATCTAGTACTAAAATGGACATGAACTTGACATATTATTAACTGACTACTGACTGAGTGATAGACATTTCATTTTTTAATTCAAGCCCATGCACTAATTCCACTCCTACAATGCATGAGGTCTAACCATAACAATATCATCTAAATCCAGATTGTAAGAAGTCTGGACAAGGATGTGTGATGTGACCAGTGCAGCAACCTCTCCTCTGTATCTAAGCAGACGACATGACTAGTCGTCACTAACACTCCACTGGAGTGTCTGTTCACCCCCATTCTCCGCCGCCGCACCAGAGCCAGTAGGCGCTTTAGTAACGAGACGGTACGCACAG